ATTGTATACTAGCGTCATAGTCTAAATGTGAAATTACACTGCAAATTACTCAATTGAAATTAAAATAGCAAACTTCGCTCTCTACTGCGAAAACGAGGTGGCTAACACTCAAACCTCTACGCACATTTAGGAATTCATTTCTGCACTGCGACCTTGCCGCCCAAGCCTACAGCACCTGGAATTGAAAAGTGACCTCGCCAGGATGCCGTGTACCCTGTGCTCTGTTCGCGATCCCCAGTGACGCGTTGTGGACACGACCGGTTTATAGGCGGCACCCACAAGCCTCACCATTCTGTTCCGTAATGTGCCATAACATTTATAACATTTTTTACGATTCTTATTATTACTATACGCGCGTTTACCCCCAACCTCATGGGGGGGGGGGGGTTCAGGAGGGTCCTGGCAAGTTTTCGCAGTAGAGAGCGATGTTTGATATTTTAATTTCAATTGAGTAATTTGCAGTGTCATTTTCACATTTAGACGCTAGTACACAATTGACTTATATGTCAACGTTCAAGGGTTTCTTGATGACTTTATTATAGTAAAAAATATCTTGCGGCAAATGTACGGGGCGGTGGTGGTGCACATGGCCTGTAATCCAGCACTGGAGGCGAGCATGGGCAGAGTTTGGGTGGGGGGGGGGGCAAGGGGGGGCAGATAAAACAAGCGTTCGTGAGAGATGCAATGTATGCGTGTACAATGTGTTGAACTTCTTTCGCATCGTACGTAGCCAACCGTGCTCATGGGAGGTGCTTGGTCCCGTGTCACCCTGCACGCGCTGGTGTGCTGGCCCCCCAAGCGCTTGCGTGTCCCTCACTGCCCCCCTCCCTGCTGCCACAGGCTCGGGTGCCATCGAGGGTGGGAGGCGGTGTTGGTTTAGCGTCGTTAAGTTGCCGCTGCAGCACCGCACCCAGCCCTATCTTGGGAAGCTTCTAGATCTGCCGGTGTTTATACCACGCAGCTGTCTTGCCATGTATTATTATCTCTGCAATGAAGAATTGCCATTGCCAAAAACGTCGCCCGATTTGTTCTCCTCGTCATGTTATTGACGAACGCGTTGAGGTGTTGTCATTGATTATACTTGTGCACCACTGCCAAAGGCAGTAGTAACACGATCCTGTTTTCTACGTCAATGGGTTCTCACACGGTAAGATAAAACCTACAATGAATGAGACAGTGAATGTCGAAACCAGTCCACAGTTTACTGGTGTTAGACCGAATAAAAACATTTCCAAGTGAAAATATTTCATAACTAAATTTCACTCCGAGAAGGCCGTGGGGCTGATATCTGCAAAAAAATGCCTTTTACGTGGAGGCACATACAGTATATGTGAAGCCATGAATAGTCTGCTTATTTATCTTACTCCACAAAGTCGCTCATTATTATATTGTGGTAAAATAAAGGTGACCAACCGACCAAAAAAGCGAGTCCATGGACGCGTGGGTCATGTTAGAAGCAGTTGTTAGACAGGATTTCAACCAATACTGCATATCGATCTACGTGAGCTCAAGCCTCCAGTACATCACGTGGCTTCTGTGTGGCCACCCCCACGCTGAACCCCTTCCCCGCCGCCCGATGTGAAAACAGACTCCGATCCGTGCAGCAGCATCGAAGCCCTGATGCAGCCTCTTCCTCCCGACCCTCGTCTCTCCCGACCCTTCGCTCTCGTTTTCCCATTGTTTGCACCCTCTTCCTCTCATTTCCCCATTCTTTCTCTCCTGTCTTCTCCTTCCTTTAAATTTTTCGATACTTTATATCACCACGAGGAAAATGCCGCTAGTTTCATATTATTACAAAATTCACCACGATTACAATGTGGAATGCATGCAATGCGTCAGCATCTCAAGATGCCCATGAAATAAATAGGATATTCGTTACTCTTCCATGGCCATGATCAAGTGGACGTTAACACACGTACAAAATCGTCGCTGTTACAAATAATAATATGGTGTTGTACGAATAGTGTGGGAGTGCTCCTCCCAGCAAGTCAAAGCGAGCATTGAGGTGCGGTGCTCAGCTCCTGTTTACCGCCCTGAGCCGGTGATGGAAATTCCCCATTCCTATAGCTGGGGCGAGTCTATCCATAAAACTTTTGACTTCCCCACAAATTGGTACCTATGTTGTATGTATGTTGAACTTATTTTGCTCCGTACGTAGCAAACCGTGCTAATCCTGGAGGAATAAGCCGAGTCAACCCCTCCAGACAGGATTTTAACTGGCACACGTGAGATTGTGGGCTGCTCGCTCAACCTACTGATGAGCAGTCACCTGGCCCGGATGTTATGTGAGACCCAGTCCATGTGTGGAGGTACCGTCGGCTGTACAGGGTAATGGGTATAGGGGGGATGGGTGACCCAGATGAAACCAATACTGATATACCCGCATGCAAGACATATGCATAATGTATGCAAATGTCCCTATGACAATCATGTATTGTTTGCATTCCTATATAGGGGGTGTAGATGTAGAATTTTTTTTATGTAATAGGTTCACTTGCGAAAACGTTCGTGGTCACGGGCCCCTCGACAAGTGAGGAGCAGCTAAGAATAAAAATAGCCCACACGGTAAAAATTGTATATTTATATTTTGGCCAGCACGGTTAGTCTGCTACACGGATAATTATAATCCACCCCGGGCCATCGAGAGTTGATTGTAAAACGTATTTATACTCGATCGATGTGGGAGATGGAATCGGTGTCTCCATATTCCCCGGCACCGACCAGCCCAGGACCACCACTCACCACCACGCATCCCACAGCACTCCTCACACGTCTCCTACTCACCTCGGAGCATCCCTCAAATAATCCCCTTTAGTGTAACACAGTGGCGCATGGAGTAGTTTCTGCCTGCAATCCAGCGCTTTGAGTGTAGGGTTTGGAGATCATGTACATTAGAACTTGGATTCAAACTCAGGTGCTCAGTGTTGCCGGCTCTGTCTGAAACACCATGCCCACAGATATCCTGTCGGATGGAGTTTTTTTTTTACTCCAAGACAAAGTGGCCAGTAGTGCGTAGCTCTCAGAAATTGTCGATGACATATCTGCAAGGATAATATATATATCATTCTCACAACTGCTTTGTTGTGTTTTTCTTGTTTTTCCGCCCTGCACCACCGATTCACACGATTGGCTACGTATGGTGCGAACAAGTAGTTCAACATACATACCAAAAGTCAAATCACGCACGAACATTGCACGTTCACTCGGATGTGCATGGATTTGCTTTGGGTCCTGCAATGTGCTCCCACATGCGAACTACACAACAATAAACTGGCAGAATAGTCTGATGCAGACCCTCTCCTGGGAAAGAGTCTTGGGCCTTGCCGCGGCTTTTCTGGATAAATAAAAGACATTCTCTCATTTATAACACGGGTAGCTCCAGCCATGAAGTTAGTTCTAACCATCACACCTTGGCTGAGAGCAGCACCTGGTAAGCTAGTCGTCATCTTTCCCACAGACCAAATCCGGATATATGTCTCAGTCAGAGCCTAGGTCTATCAGTGATGTGCAGAATCCTGCAATAAAATTCAACACAGTAATGCCGCCACCATATCTCAGTACAGATCAATTCCTGGCACCTGAACACAGATTCCACTGTGTTCAGGTACCCAGAAGCGGTGGAAGTTCTCGTCCAGCGACCTTCCCTTTCTGGGTTAATCTGGCATCTATGCTCGCAGTCATCACTTATTCACCACCGTAGGTATTCTCATCAGCATCGCCGGGTTTATAAGTGACTAGCTTTACTATCCGGCTTCGCCCGGGACTTAGATTCACCAAGCCCGGCCGCCTTTGTCTCCCCAGTGGCGATGTTCACACACCATAACAGTTAGTCGTTTGAGGCTGAGTCGACCTAGGGGAGGCCCAGAAGCGGTTGAAATAATCGTCACCGGTGGTGGCCGTGAGCTGGAATCGAACTCGGGTCGCCGGGTTCGTAGCGCAGCGCGCTAACCACTACACTACAATGCGTTACGCTTCCACACACACACACAGACACACACAGACACAGACACAAACACACAGACACACACACACAGACAGACACACACACAGACATACACAGCACGCTAACCACTACACTACAATGCGTTACGCTTCCACATGCGCGGGTCACGTGACAGATTTGACGTCACAGCTCACTTGCCGTGCAAAAAATAAATGCATTATTGAGCTCCCCCCACAAAAAATGTATTTTTTATTATTATTTTTGCATGGTGTACAGTCTGGAAAGTACCCACATGTGTGTGTTTGTTTAACACGTAGGCTTTCGCGACCAATATTATTCATAATAAAGATTTTTGGGTTAGATCGCGTTATTTATAAATGTGTCGTAACCCTCCACCACCCGACACGGCCAATCAGCAAAAAAAGTGTCACGTTGACAAAAGACAAACAATTTCCTACTTTAGCCCACCGGTGTGTTGAATAGTGAATCCACAACATTTACAGTTTGAGTACGCCGTTTCGCTGGTAAATACATCCAGCATCATCACGCAATTCGCCAGAATGGTAAAGCCCTCGCTTGCTCCCGGTTTTATATCGAGCAGCAGCAGGGTGACGTCATCATTTAACTAATATCAGGTGAAGTGATTAGAGGCGGAGGGGGGTATTGTAATTATATAATCGATTAGTAATCAGTCAATGGTTATGTTGTGGATTCACTCTTCAACACACCGGTGGGCTAAAGTAGTGAATTATTTGTCTTTTGTCAACGTGACACTTTTTTTGCTGATTGGCCATGTCGGGTGGTGGAGGGTTACGACACATTTATAAATACGCGATCTAACCCAAAAACCTTTATTATGAATGTGTGTGTTTGTTGCATGTCGGGAAGTACGCTAAACATTTTGAACAGACACACATAATCACAAGTTTGCCTTTTATTTGGAGATATGGAGATGTGATCAGGTGCTTGGCAGCTCAGCCCCTTGCTGTCCCATCCCTTTGGTCATCTTTAAAGCGAGTGGAGCTCATAGAGCCCCCGACAGTACGACTCCATCAACCAGGGACATTTAGGGTCATTCACAATACACACACCGACTTAACCGCTATCACTCAACCCACAGGCACTCAACACGAGACACACATTCACTCTCACCGGCTCAATCACAACCACTCAACTGCATCGCAGCATCTACTCAACATCAAGACAACCACGTCTTTAACCACAACCACTCAATCACACACACGCTTCACGCCCACTCAACACCCACCCAATCACAGCCACCTAACCGCACCACCATGGTCACAGCCGATCAACAACTTGACAACCGCATCCACTTCGACACAACAACCACCACAACCCAACGCAACATCCACTCAACCGTGTCACACAACAACCACAACACGAAGTCAACAACCACACGCACCACCACCACCACCCCCCTCCGCGCGTGCAGCGAGGAGGAGTGAAGGTAGCAGCCCCCATGCTGTTGATGGTGCTTGGAGCGCGGTGCCCCGGGGGCCCGTGGGGGGCTCCCGGCTCCCGTCTGCTGGGCTCGCTGAGCCGGGCCCTGTCCCCGCGAGCCCCGGGGGCGGCTGGCCGGGCCCTGCACTCGGCCGGGGGCCCGCAGCAGCAGCGGCGCCTGTTCACCCCGCCGAGCGGGAACGAGCTGGCGCGCTGCGCCGGGCTGGCCTCCATGATGAGGCTGCCCACCGTGCGGGAGGGCAGCGCGGGCCTCGACGCATGCTTCGTGGGGACGCCCATCGACACGGGCACCTCCAACCGGCCCGGGGCCAGGTGGCGCTCTCACCTCGCGCACACCGTGACACACACACAGCTCGTGCAGACGACGACACAGCTCGCACCTACACACACACACAGCACGTACACACACACAGCTCGCACCTACACACACACACAGCTCCCACCTACACACACACACAGCACCTACACACACACACAGCACGTACACACAGCACGTACACACACACAGCTCGCACGCACACACACAGCTCGCACCTACACACACACAGCTCGCACGTACACACAAACACAGCTCGCACCTACACACACACAGCACCTACACACACACACAGCACCTACACACACACACAGCACCTACACACACACAACTCGCACCTACACACACAGCTCGCACGTACACAGTACACGTCTCACACACAGCTCGCACGTACACACACACAGCTCGCACGTACACAGTACACGTCTCACACAGCTCGCACGTACACAGTACACGTCTCACACAGCTCGCACGTACACACACACACAGCTCGCACGTACACAGTACACGTCTCACACTCACACAGTACACAGTACACGTCTCACACACAACTCGCACGTACACAGTACACGTCTCACACTCACACAGTACACAGTACACGTCTCACACACAGCTCGCACAGTACACGTCTCACACTCACACAGCTTGCACAGTACACAGTACACGTCTCACACAGCTCGCACGTACACAGTACACGTCTCACACACAGCTCACACAGTACACAGTACACGTCTCACACACAGCTCGCACGTACACAGTACACGTCTCACACACAGCTAGCACAGTACACGTCTCACACACAGCTTGCACAGTACACGTCTCACACTCACACAGTACACAGTACACGTCTCACACACAGCTCACACAGTACACAGTACACGTCTCACACACAGCTCGCACGTACACAGTACACGTCTCACACACAGCTTGCACAGTACACAGTACACGTCTCACACACAGCTCACACAGTACACAGTACACGTCTCACACTCACACAGTACACGTCTCACACACAGCTTGCACAGTACACAGTACACGTCTCACACACAGCTCGCACGTACACAGTACACGTCTCACACACAGCTTGCACGTACACAGTACACGTCTCACACACAGCTTGCACGTACACAGTACACGTCTCACACACAGCTTGCACAGTACACGTCTCACACACAGCTAGCACAGTACACAGTACACGTCTCACACACACAGTACACAGTACACGTCTCACACACAGCTCACACAGTACACAGTACACGTCTCACACACAGCTTGCACAGTACACAGTACACGTCTCACATTGCCAGACCTGGTGAGAATGCGCCCTATCCGGCCGGTCTGGTTCATAGCCGTCTGTGTGTCATGAATATTGATGATAGCTGCCACTAAAGAATCCGCTGGCGGTCACGACAGAAGCAAGCGCCTTTGCCACAGAGATGTCGGCAGAGCTAAAGTTGCTTGACAGGAATTACGATTCTTTTTTCGTTTTGCAATAATATTGGGGTGGAGTTTTTAAAGTGTTTTTCCACCGAGGCCCTCCTATGCAAATTCGGAGTGCAGGCTGATGACATTCCTGTTAACATGATCGGTTTAAATTAACCACGGGAAATTATTGAAGGCTTTAACAAAGAAGGCTGCGTAGTTGGGCCGAGGATAATAACTAGTAAAAGCCGCATGTATATATACATTTTCCGAACGAATTGAAAAAACATTTTGGAGAGACAGTTGAAAGGTTACACATTAGAATGATGTACATCGTGGGTAATTTTTGAAGGACTACGATCACAATGATCCAATAAAGAGATGTGTTAGAGCCATATGATTACTGTTTAGCCATTCAACTGCGGGTAATTGAACTAATTTGGACTTTGACACTGGCACACGATGGCCTATTCTTGCGAACAACGGAACGGGATCTTGAACGTTCGCTGTGAAACAGACGGCACGTTGTGTTTTTACGGTGAATGTGCCCGCAGTATTAATCCGGGCAGCCGCTGGGCTTGAACCGTAATTCTCTGCATTAAGCAGTGAACGCGCTGCCGCTGTGCAGTTCACAATAACCTGTGGGGGCTCTCTCCCAAAGCCACCAATCTCCATGGTGGCATGAGAAAGCTCTGGGGAGAATTAGGCGTGAGCCAGATGTGTCAGTCTTCGGCCACGTTTGCGGATTCTACACAGAGCCCTGCAATGATAACGCAGATGCCAGGAATCCACAGCGTTCTAAAGGGCTTTAGCAAGTTAGCATGAATCCTCGCATGCTTATTTTCCACGTGGCACTTGTTGGTCTGCTACCGACAAGGTCGCTTGTTCCACCGCTATGCAAGATGCAGGGATGTTGTAATAGACTGATTGTCAACGCTGTGTTTGCCAAGCGCGTTCGTGTGTGCCCTAAAGGTAAAGTCAAGAAAAACTACTGCTGAAAGTCACAAACCTAGGTGTCAAGACCCTTGCCGAAGATTGATCTCGTATTTTGTTTTATGTTTCAGGTTCTGTTTCTTATTGAAGGCTGCAAATGACCCATACACCGCTTAGATATAGCTCACTAAACGCGTGCGAGCTCTAATAAAAGAGTGTTGACAATCTAATTGACAGGGAACGTGGGCCAAACGTGTTTTGCAGTGAATGGCAGTTGGACATGTTGACTGCATCACAAAGGCTGCATTTCACCTTCTGCATGCAAGCGATGGCAATGTTTGCAAGTCATGTTAACATCAATGGTCAGTCAAACGTATCAACTCCAGCTGTGGGATTGCAACAAACGTTAATACCAGCATAAAGGCCTACTTTTGAGCGTACTGCTCTATGAACCCGGCGACCTGCATTTGATTCATGGCCATAGCTAACATGAGCGGCGAGTGATATCTGAACTGGCCATGGGCCCCCTCCCCCCTTTCATAAACCGGCATTGATCACCCTGGTAAAGCATGGCCAAATAAACCCCCTTAACTGATACAGTGTAGGAAGACCTCCATCCAGCAGTAGATTGGCAAAGGGATAAAGATTATTCAACAAGTCACGTAGAAGGGAAACAATAAAATAATAAAAATATAAAACAATCAAATTCTCACGACGTTTCGACTGCAACACAAGCAATCATCATCAGGTGTGAAAACCACAGCAAGAATATTTGAAAAAAGTGGCGTTTTTTTAACGTTAGCACCACGGAGAGCGATTTGGCAGTTATTCAGATGGACGAGTCCATCTATGTTCGGAAAAGAGGAGGGGGGAGGCGAAAATAATGGATGCGGTCTGAAAGCCACCGTAAGCGTGAACAATCAATTAAGACCCGAAATGGTTTATCAAATCCTTCCAATGGTTGCTAAACCAGAATCCATCTTCTCGGTTGAAATTGTCTCTGTGTTTGTATATGTGGATAGCCTCATAAACGAATCTCTCATGATAGCCAGATGACTTGCAGAGAACCTCTGTCTTGGAGAAGTCAATGTCATGTGAGCCTACTGAATTATAACAGTGATCTGCCACGGCCGAGGTGTTGGTCCTACCGTGTTTTAGGTCTGTTTTGTGTTCACGGATGCGGTCCGAGACATGTCGTTTGGTTTCTCCAATGTAACTACTACCACAGAGGCAACTTAGTTTGTAGACGCCAGAGTACTGTTTGTCCGGAATCACATCTTTTACAGACGGAACCAGATCACGGATTTTATGTAATGTGTTGAATCGGACCTGGATCTTGTGTTTATTCAAGATTTTGGAGATATTTTTGTGATCCCCTCAATGTAGGGTAAAGTGATGGTTTTGAATGGCTCCTCAAGAGGGTCCTTCTTCATGGTTGGAGTGATAGCTTTGCGGATTGTGTAGTCGGAGTAACCATTAGCCTTAAGAGCTTGGTGTACGTGCTTGAGTTCACTGGCTATGTGTTCCTGGTCGGATATGCATTGGGCTCTATGGTGCAGAGTCTTGATGAGGGAATTCTTCTGGGATGGATTGTGGTGGGAATCCGGTTTCAGGTCATCATCCGTATGGGTAGCTTTCCTGTAGACAGAGTGGCTCATTGAACCATCAGGTCTCTTTTTTATGAAGACATCCAAAAAAGGTAGCTTGCCATCTTTTTCGACTTCCATGGTAAATCTGATGGCTGGGTGTATGGAATTGATGTGGTCGAGGAATTGGTCTAGAGCAGGCCGGCCATGTGGCCAGATGACAAAAGTGTCATCCATGTACCTCTTCCATAAGGTTGGGTGCAGAGTGGCAGTTTGGGCGGCGTCAGTCTCAAATTTCTCCATGAAAATGTTGGCTACAACCGGAGATAGGGGGCAGCCCATTGGGGTGCCCTCAGTTTGTTTGTAGAAAGTTCCATTCCAAGTGAAGTATGTATTGGTTAAGCAGTGTCTCACCAGGGGGGGTACCTCAGTGTTTAGTCCTTGATGAACCAAGTCTTCAACGATTGCGATGGTGTCAGGTACAGGGACTTTGGTGAATAAGGAAACTACATCAAAACTGACAAGCAGGTCGTCTGGGGACAGGGAAATACCCGTGATTGTCAATACCAGGTGAGTAGAATTTTGTACCGCAGAGGTGGTTTTTCCAGTGAAAAGCCGCAGGATTTCAGACAGAAAACAAGCCAGTTTGTAGGTGGGGGAGTTGATAGTAGAGATGATGGGACGTAGGAGTGTATCTACTTTATGTATTTTTGGTAAGCCGTATAACCTTGGTGGCCTGGCAGCAGAAGGTTTCAACGAGAACTGTTTGGTTTGATCAATTAATGCGGTTGAATCAGAAATGATTTTGTTGGTTTGTATGACGAGGCTGTTGGTGGGATCTCTTTTTTTATTTTTGTATAGCTGCCATTGTTGAGTAATTCTTGAATTTTGTTGTTATATTCTATTTTATCCATGATGACAGTGGCATTGCCCTTGTTGGCTAAGAGGATGACAATGTCATCCCTCTTTTTTAATTTACATAATTCAAAACGCTCATCTTTGCTGAGGTTGCTAGCTGGCATCTTAGTGTTTTTGAGGGTTGCAGCGATTTCAGATCTTGCTTCGTCTGCAGCGATGTGACCCAGGCCCTTGAGAGCCACGTCTACTTGGGCTACTTGGGCAATGATATCATTAACTGGTATGTGTTTAGGTGTGACTGCAAAGTTTAACCCTTTAGCTGAAACGGATTTCAGACCATCGGAAATAGAACTGTTACCTCGATTAATTACGACTTTGTTAACCTCTAGCTTTTTGGTGTGTGGGTCCGGTCTTTTGTTGGAGAGGAGGTTAAATTTGGAAATCAGGTTGTCCTTACATTTGGTCGACATAGTGGCAGCTGAAGAGGCAGTCATATTGTCTACATGTTCCCAATCCGATGTGGACATTGTTGCCGTCAATGATAAGTGTGATTTGTAGAGTATCTTGCTAACTGATCTAGTTCGGTGCGTATAAGTCTGATTTTCTCTGAGATAAGAGCTTAGCTAGTTCTGGAAAGAATTCGTTTCGCATGAGAAGGAGTTACAGCAGCAGAGGTCAGTGTAAATGTGATTGGTATTACCCCAGAGTCGCGGAATCTCTTCAGAAAGGTGAGAGACTCGATCAGCTGAGCCTTCTTATCCCGGAGTTTGTTGAAGGATCTCAAAGTTATGTGGAAACCCTCCCCGTAGAGGCAATTACATTTTGATTGAAAGCTTTCATGACTGCAGGGATTCATATTCTTGGTGAACACAAAGCAGACCTAAAACACTGTAGGACCAACACCTCGGCCGTGGCAGGTCACTGTTATAATTCAGTCGGCTCACATGACATTGACTTCTCCAAGACAGAGGTTCTCTGCAAGCCATCTGGCTATCATGAGAGATTCGTTCATGAGGCTATCCACATATACAAACACAGAGCCAATTTTAACCGAGAAGATGGATTCTGGCTTAGGAATCATTGGAAGGATTTGATAAACCATTTTGGGTCTTAATTGATTGCTCATGCTTACGGTGGCTTTCAGACCGCATCCATTATTTTCGTCTCCCCCCTCCTCTTTTCCGAACATAGATGGACTCGTCCATCTGAACAAACTGTCAAATCGCTATCCGTAGTGCTAACGTTAAAAAAACGCCACTTTTTAAAAAAAATTCTTGCTGTGGTTTTCACACCTGATGATGACTGCTTGTGTTGCAGTCGAAACGTCGTGAGAATTTTATTGTTTTATATTTTTATTATTTTATTGTTTCCCTTTTACGTGACTTTACCGAAATAACCAAGAATATGAATCCCTGCAGTCACGAAAGCTTAAAATCAAAATTATTCAACAAGTAAAAAAAAAGTTGTAAAACATTGTATTTGCAACTAAAAGTACTTAATTCGATTTTTTTTTTACAGGTAAAAGTGCAGCCCTGCAATTACTTGCTCATGCTACTGCTGGTGTAAGGGCCGTCACAGAGAGCCCCTGTAGAATTTAAAATAATACTGCAAATATAAATGTTACAAAAACTGCCTGTGTAAGGCCAGATTCTTGTCTTCATGAAATGTGGACTTTTATCAGCTTTTTAGTGAAAATGTGCAAAAGTCTCGATCACCAAGAATAGCGACTTTGTGTCGTACAGAAACATCCATATTCCCAGTGGCTGTCAGGTCTAATGCTGAGGGGTTGGGGGGAGAATGTCTGTAAACTGGCTCACAGACGAGAGAGTCCCAGTGGAGAAGCTTCATTTTAGCCGCGATATTTTGCTCTTGCGTTGTGAGCAGCCTGCTCGCGGTAACGCGATTCACCTCGTCATGCGATGGGGTGATGTGAGCGGCAGGGTCCGTGTGTGCTGCTAACGCTGCTCTACTCAATTGCACCTCTTCATTGTGTCGTTACCTCAGTTTATACTTGATTGTGGCACGATGTCAAGTAATTTATATTTTTTTTTACGTGGGTGGCCTAACGAGGAAATCGCTCGCGTACGTCGTCATCATCCCACCAGGTTTGGGCCGCGTCAAATCCGGAGCGAGTCGGTGATGGTCCGTCCGTACAACAACTACACGCACGCTGCGCCCTTCGAGTCGCTGGCCGTTGCTGACATCGGGGACATCTACATCAACCTGTACAACCAACAGGAGAATGTGCGGCTCATCAGGGACGCCTACTGCACCATCATCTCCGGGGGCTGCCGGCCCCTCACCCTTGGTTAGCCCCTCCCTTGCGCCACCCTCCTTACCCTCTCACCTGCCCAGAGAATGGTTCGAAAATTATGCCCAGGTTACCTTAATCGGTAATTAACATGTAGCAGGTCACCATGATACCCAGAGAGAGTCCACATAGGGAGGTCAGAAACTCACTTTCTGTAAATACTTCCCCACCCAGCAGGCTGGGAGTCTCAGCTTGCTCACCCGTACTAGCCTCAGTTTGCTCACCGGCTATAAAATGCAGTAAAACCTTTGCACTGTGTTGAATTTAGCAGAGGGTGACTGCAGCAAACGTATAACTTTGGCTTCATTGTGGTTTATCAAAGGGTACCCCACAACCAAGGCTAGTACCAATTGGCTAGTACTCATGGCTGGATGGTTCGGGTAAGGATAATTGGAAGAGCAGGTACCAATGGAAGATTGCCTAGTTCGTGTGGGTTAGGAGTGAGTCACAGTGTCACTCTTCAGTGGTACCACTGGTTTAGTACCAGTGGCTGGTACCAAAACTCTCGCTCGCGCTGGATTACAGGGTAACGTCGGGTGTTAAATCATGATTTGGGTGGGTTCCAGGGATAATCCATAGGTTGCCATCCCTCGCCCCTCTCACCCCACCTTGCTCCATTGGACTGAGCTTCTCATGTGGCACGTTCCCCAGCTGATGGGCTCCTAGCCACCTGGGTAGTTGCCGTCTGTTTTTGTCGTGATAACATCTCCCCAGCCATCACACTGATGGGCAGGGAATCCAGTGCGTCAGTATGGAATTTGGTAAGCGGTGCTATGGGTTTGGCATCAAATGTACCAAGAGGGCATGTGCCACATGGAATTATTACAAGGCACCATGTCAAGTGAGGCCAGGAGAGATCGTAATCCACAGTGGAAAATGTGTTCGTTGTAAGCTCTGTCAAGCAGTTGTTTCGTGCTTTTTACTCTTTACTTAGAGCAAGGTGAAATATCACAGTCGCGAGTGCATATTTGCACACCGATTTTATATGTTTTAAATATAAATACGTATATTTTTTCATCAATGTTGTCGTAAGGCCCGCAGTCAAGCTCTGGGCACATGGGACGTGGTTAGAATGTGCACTCAAAATTGACTGAGCTCACAATTCAACATAAAATCCGCTGATGCTTTGCACTCATTGGCACCCGTGGTCGTATTTACACGGCCTTAACGTCACTAAGACAGCCGAGCTGTGTGCGAGTAAAGATGTTCAACACGGCTTCGTTTGCTTTTACATCACACTCTTCAAACAGAGAATCTCGGGGCTATTTACAGTGATCAGATACAATCCTCAAAAAGTCATTGTCCTATCGATCCAGCTCCAAAATAAGCCAACTCAAACAAATATCTCTACATCTAAATCTGCCAAAGCCTCCCGTAAATCGTTTGACGTTTGTGTGGCCACTGCCACTCTGAACCTCTCTCATCTGTTGTGAAAACAGATGCTGCTCCCCCGTCGCAAACCCCCCTCTGCACTCCCCTTCTCTCTTTTTTCCCCTCTCCTCTCATCAGCTTCACCCTCTCATTCCCAACATCTTAGCCGGGTCATTCCTTCTCCCCCCTCTTCCCCATCCTACTAGGCACTCCTTATTTATTCCTGCTGTTCATATTGAGGCGTGCCCTCCTCTTTGTCTATCTTAGGGACTTCTGTGCCGCCATCTCTTCCCTTTCCCATTTCTTTCTACTTTTCTAAACATTATATCCTTGAATCGACTGTTTGAAATGTGTGCCTGTGCCAGCAGTTATCAAGGTGTCCGTTGCTTTTCAAATGCCATCCTGAAGGAAAAGTTTAAACCAAACCTAATGGGACAGTGTTTTTGTGTGGCTACTGGTAACTGGACTCGGACCATCTGGGGCTGGCTCGGTGCCCGAACGCAGTATTAGCCACCGGGCCACCTTGAATTAAAATTCCTTTTTACATATTCTTTTGGTCTTTTTGTAAAGTCACGTTGATAGGTTCAAAGAGAATAACAAAAAACTACGACGTTTCGATCGCAACACAAGCGGTCGTCATTAGGAAAAGGGGGTTTGCCTCGAAGGCAAGCTGTTTATAAAGGTTTAAAATGGGCGTAGCCCAAGTGTCGTCAGCAGCATGGGCGGGGCAGCTTATGTTAATGTAAGGTGAGGGTCCACGGCGGCGCTGGTAGTGGGTTTCCACCAATTAAAGGGCTGCCAGGTAAAAATTTGCATGTCAATGTAAGATTGTTGAGCGGCCTCCAGGGTGAGCGCGCTGAGGTGGCTCTGTTAATGTGAAATATTAGCATGTTAATGTGAGAGATTAACGTGTTAATGTGAGAGATTAGCGTGTTAATGTGAGAGATTAGCATGTTAATGTGAGAGATTAGCATGTTAATGTGAGATATTAGCATGTTAATGTGAGAGATTAGCATGTTAATGTGAGAGATTAGAGCATGTTAATGTGAGAGATTAAGGTGTTAATGTGGGAGATTAGAGCATGTTAATGTGAGAGATTAGAGCATGTTAATGTGAGAGATTCACGTGTTAATGTGGGAGATTAGCATGTTAATGTGAGAGATTAACGTGTTAATGTGAGAGATTAGAGCATGTTAATGTGAGAGATTAGAGCATGTTAATGTGAGAGATTAGCGTGTTAATGTGAGAGATTAACGTGTTAATGTGATTGATTAACGTGTAAATGTGAAAGATTAGCATGTTAATGTGAGAGATTAGCATGTTAATGTGAGAGGTTAACGTGTTAATGTGAGAGATTAACGTGTTAATGTGAGAGATTAACGTGTTAATGTGAGAGATTAGCGTGTTAATGTGAGAGATTAGCATGTTAATGTGAGAGATTAGCATGTTAATAGCAGATCGTAGAGCCACCGCCACCTTTAGGTCGGCACGTGAAGGTGGCTGTGTTAGTGAGAAATTTAACCTGCTAATGTAAAATAGGAGAGCTGAAAATAACAACTAACATCGGAAGGTGGTAGGATGGAAACATCACAGCCTGTTATAACTTAAACTGGTTGATAACGTCCTTCCAATGATTGTTAAGTTTGTACCATCTTCTCGGTTGAAATTGTGTCTGTCTGTATATATGGATGGCTTCATGAACGAATCTTTGTTGATAGCCAGTGGGTTTGCAAAGTACCTTTGTCTTAGAGAAATCGATTTCGTGTGAGCCCACCGCATTAAAACAATGATCAGCCACGACCGAGGTATTGGTCCTACCGTGTTTCAGATCTACCTTGTGTTCACGAACACGGTCCGAGATATGTCTTATTTTATTCATTTCTCAGAATTTTTTTCCCAATTAGGAGATTTTTGTTAAATGTTCTTAAAAATATAGCGATGAAAAAAAATCACCAGTGTGCGAGGTTTAACATCGTACATTAGTTGCAATTAACTGCAGAAACACGACCTGGATGTTGTGGCAACGTCCGTAGCGATCTCTGCGCTGAGGGAAACGTATAGACAGGAGACATAGAAACGTAGTTGGTTTACAAGACGCTGTAGGCTCATTCATTCGTCACGTCCCTGGTGGTGTAGGAAACGGGCAGCTAGGACATCTATTTACAGAACACCGCACCACAATAACGTGCATTGTATACCCTAATCTCTTGTTAAATTTAACACGAGTCTCCAGCTCGGGACAAATTAATAAATATACGCCGCACGATCATTGTATCCAGAACTCATTGTTCACACCCTACAACGCGCTAATTTATTTTCCCTCAGAAGCTGCAGCAATGACGTTTAATGTAACTGAGCGGCATTCGCTGAGCTGTTGTCGCAGGTTGTGTAAGGGATGTAGTGTCTCAACGTTGCCTCTCGTTCCATTAAAAGCTTAGCTGGCTTTGGTGAACAAGCAGCAACAAAAGGTGCATTTCGCAGGGTGACCTCGGTGTTGCTAACCTAGGAACAATGATCGCTCCACCGAGCACCACACCCAGCCAGACAGTGCGGCTCAGCCACGTTTCGCATGATGGATGTTGCAACATTCACCTGGCCCTTCTGTCCGTACCGACAGAAAAAAACAACACGGAGCTGTGCACCTCACCAGCGCACTCCTGGCGTCAGCGGCACACTGCACATCTCAATAGCACACAACAACAACCGCCACTAAGTGGCGGTGACGTCACCACGACGCTTGTGCCAGGCCTCAATAGCACACAACTCCTCACAAGCACTTAGCTCACCACCACACTCATTTTAGCTGTGATCCAGAATTCTGGTGGTAAGGGTGGGTGGGTCACTTCTCTTTGAAACTAGTAATCCCGCTGGGCTACAAGGGGGCCGAGAGATCCCAGTACTGCAAATGAAGAGAATAATGGGATAATACTGAGGGTGGAGAGGAAAGTGAATTGCTAGTGGATGAGAGGAGGAAAGTCTTGAATCTGAACTTAAGCAGGGAACGTAGTCCTCAGTGGGCAGCTGTCCAAGAGAGACAGTTCCAGACTGCGGGCTGAGCAGAGGAGCAGAGATCCCCCCGGTGATTGGAGAGTTATCAGAGGAGCAGAAGGAGTAGGTTTTGAGAGTTGACCTTGGCTCCTGGAGCAGAGTGAAGTGAGGGACGTGGTGGGATGTGCCCTTGGACGGCCTCGGGGCTCGTGGAGTCTGGTGAGGCTCACGTCTCTCCCCGCGAGAGGAAACATCTCCTGTTACAGCTGAGTGGCTAGCAGGTCAGAGATTGTAGGTTCGAATCCAGGCGGACGTCTGTGGTCTAACCGGGTTCTCAAGATGGCCTCAGCCCGGGCACTGATCTCTGCGAAAAAAAACAGTCACCTAACATTTTGGTTTCCAATTGCTTTGGCCAAATTCCAGCTCTGAGAATTAAAATATCGCTTTGATCGTAATGCATCAAACATTGCTCTTCATGGCAAGGCAGGTTGTTAATTGCTGCCCCTCACTCTTTTGACCTAAAGTGGCTTGAAGGAATCTCAGACGTAGCTCTGTGGTATCTGCTTCTGTGGGCCGATGTTAAACACGAGGGTTCACTGCTCTTCAAAAGATCTGAATCGATACTTTGTCTCTTGTCTCAATCTGGCTGAAGCTGGAGTTAAAGATAAAAGTATCTGAGCACTTCCTGGTTGATCTGGCTCGCTGTGTTCCTCCACAGCTTCAGCAGCCATTGAGGGTGTGCACTGCTTCATACAAGTTTACGTTGACAATGCGCCCACACACCTTGTTCAAAGCCTATAGTTCTGCTGTATGGTCCCCACCGTTCAAAGCTAGTTTTTTTCCATGCCTCACAAATCTTGCGAGACTGCCAATGCACCATCGCCAAACAACAATTTGATTATCACTGCCTACGATCACATTTCTTTTATGAAGTAGTGCGCATTTGTGTTCTGGAATGTAACATGAAAAGATGGAAAAATATCCAGAGCAGTACAATGAACACAGAAACGTAACACGTTCATCAATACCGCTGTGCGTGACCTTCAATGTAATGTGTATAATAGGTGACGTGTCTGGCAATGTTCCTTCTTGGCAGTGCAAAGAGAGGCGAGAGAGGTAGAGTCACTGGCCACTCTGTGCCGTGAAGAAGGCTCATTGCCAGAAATGTCGCCTATCATATACTTTTTCTTTTTAAGGCCACAGCGTTATTGACCAATGTGTTGAGTTTTTTTTGTCATTTGCCCTCGTACCCTGCTGCCATTGCAGCAGCGTCACAAAATAATTTGTTTGACGATGAACAAGGGCTGTGATAATCGTATTTTTTTTTGCGTAACTGGTAACCGAATTTAAAGAAACCGGTAAAAGCCTTATTACCGGTCTGCCACACACATAAATGTTTGTCCGTTTATCAGCAGGTCGTGTGTGGTGGGGTAAAGTGTGGGCATGCCCACCACTTTCAGGACAAGGGGTCAGTGACGCGGTCCTGCGGGAGCGCGTTCGCCGCTTGGTGCGGAGCTTCTCAGTTTGACTTACGGTGGCCGCCCCGAAGCCCTGGCCGCCCCAAAGCCCTGGCCGCCCCAAAGCCCTGGCCGTCCTAAAGCCCTGGCCACCCCAAAGCCCTGGCCGCCCCAAAGCCCTGGCCGCCCCAAAGCCCTGGCCGTCCTAAAGCCCTGGCCACCCCAAAGCCCTGGCCGCCCCAAAGCCCTGGCCGCCCCAAAGCCCTGGCCGTCCTAAAGCCCTGGTCGCCCCAAAGCCCTGGCCGCCCCAAAGCCCTGGCCGCCCCAAAGCCCTGGCCGCCCCAAAGCCCTGGCCGCCCCAAAGCCCTGGCCGCCCCAAAGCCCTGGCCGCCCCAAAGCCCTGGCCGCCCCAAAGCCCTGGCCGTCCCAAAGCCCTGGCCGTCCTAAAGCCCTGGCCGCCCCAAAGCCCTGGCCGCACTAAAGCCCTGGCCGCCCCAAAGCCCTGGCCGCCCCAAAGCCCTGGCCCCTCCTCGTAGAGACTCGAGACGCTCCCTTATTGCGTGACAGCCTGAATATGTATAACCAGCTCCTAACATACAGACCACGATTCGACCAGGTTGTTAATAATGAGTGTATATATCTATATTTATTTCTAGTATAATTATTATCAATGTGCTTGTTTATGCAGCAGAGTCGAATACGGCAAAAAAAACCCACAAAACAGTACACCGGACATGCGCATTGTGAACTGTACACAATACCCACTTATACCCTGCCATGACATCTGACTGGGCTATAAAAAGTGAAAATTGCAAGGTCAGATCATGTGGCATATTTCACAAATGCTGCCCGGCACACCCATCAGCGACCCCCTTGTAAACACCGGTGTCAGTTTAACTTTTACCGGACACCCTGCGGCTAATCCCTATGTATTGTTCGCATGCTTTGTTTAATCTGTGTGAGCATTGGGTGCGGTTATGCGGAATTTATGATCTCCCTTGTGAATGGCGGCAGTTGGAATTTTAGTCTACACCGTACGAACGCGACACTTTCATCTGTGCCCTCGTCCGTCCATCCGTCTGTCCATCCGTGTGTGCAGGGGGCGACCACACCATCACATACCCCATCCTGCAGGCCTTCGCTAAGCAGTAAGGCTTTGCTTGCACTTTGGCTCACAGATCTCTCGGTAGCGGTGGGTCCTCAGATCCATGCATACATACTCACCGAATAAAGCACACGGTGAAGTAGACGACCAGGCCTGGTGCCTCGCACCAACGCCAGCACGACTAGCACGGTGCAAGAGTTACATAATAGGCAGCCAGGCCATATAATTTGCATCGACGAGCTTTGGTCATTTTCTTAGCAGACTGGAGAATCAGCTGGAAACGATGACCAATGTGCACTGCACGATGAAATAGTCGGGTTGTCAATGTTGATGTTGCGGCACGGTATGCGTTTGTGTGTTTATTTGTATAAAAATGTGTCGCCGTTATCTTTATTTATAGACCCATGGGTTAGTTGGCATGTTAATCTGTTTTGCATGTGCTCTGAGATGGAGTGTTGCTGCTGCTGATGATGATGATGAAAAACCGAGGTCTTCGTTAGTGCTGACCTGATGCTCAGACTCTAGGGGCAGTTGGCTGTGAGTGAGTGGTGACCTCAAGATGGTAGTGATGTGATAGTGTTGGTAGTAACGTGGCTGTGTTGGGAGTGAGGTGCGGCATTGGTAGTCACGGGGCAGTGTTGAGAGTAACATAGTTGTGTTGGTAGTCACGGGGCAGTGTTGGGAGTGATGTGGTGATGCGGTGTGAGTAGTCACGTGGTGGTGTTGAGAGTAACATAGTTGTGTTGGTAGTCATGGGGCAGTGTTGGGAGTGATGTGGTGATGCGGTGTGAGTAGTCACGTGGCGGTGTTGTGAGTAGCATAGTTGTGTTGGTACTCATGTGGCGGTGTTGGAGTGAGATGTGGCGTTGGTAGTCGCGGGACGGTGTTGGGAGTGACATAGATGCGTTGCTAGTCATGGGACAATGTTGGGAGTAATGTGGCGGCATTGGTAGTTGCGGTGCGGTGTCGATAGTCAGAGGGCGGCGCGCGCTGCAGGTACGGCCCGGTGGGACTCATCCACGTGGACGCCCACGCCGACACCAACGACCTCATGCTGGGGGAGAAGGTAGCGCACGGGACGCCGTTCCGCCGCTGCGTGGAGGAGGGGCTGCTGGACTGTAAGCGCGTGGTGCAGATCGGCCTGCGCGGGTCGGGGTATTCGCCCGACGACTACAACTGGGGCCGCCAGCAGGTGCGGCAGCGGCAAGCACTGCCGGGTCGGGAGGCGGTTGAGGTGCCCGCTTGGGGAACTCATAATGCCCGTGTCGGGGGGACTGAGCCAACACCACCGAGGTCCCGGGCTTCGTGGCCGCCCCCGTGATTGAACTGCCGAGTTGATGGTCTTGGCCCTGGCACTGACGATTGGTTAAAAAAGTCCAAGTGAGTTGCCACTCGAGTGGGCATTGAAGCGGTGCTGCACTTCTGTTTAGAGCCCTGAGCCAGTGGTGGAAATTCTGCGTGTTTATGAATGGAAAAGTCCATCCATAGAATAACCAGTAATGACTTCCCAACACGTATGGGTTTTCACTCAAATCTAGCCCTGGGAGTGTCAGGGCATTCGAAGTTGTGGATAGCGAGGCTGGTTTATGTGTGTATTTGTGTATGAGTTTACGGGGAGCGGTGGTGTCGAGGTTAGCGCGCTCTGCTACGAACTCAGCCGCCCAAGTTTGATTCCCACTCATGGACAAGACTAGTGACGAATATTTGAACCGATCCTGGGCCTCTTCTAGGTCGACTCCTACCTGGTACGATTTGTAAACATCATCACTGGGGAGACAAAGGTGGTCGGGCGTGGTGTCGGTCACCCACCCACCTCCGCGTGTTCCATGCTAGCCTTCATAGGTGCTCGCTAACAGCACTTGCCCCGACAGTCTATTAAGGCTATACGGGGGATCTTTGTGCGTCTGTGTTTGTGTGCGTGTGTTTCCATGTGCACGCCGGCTGCAGGGTTTCCGCGTGGTGCAGGCGGAGCAGTGCTGGTTCAAGTCGCTCGCTCCACTCATGAAGGAGGTCACCCAGCAGATGGGCTCAGGTCCCGTCTACCTCTCCTACGACATCGACTCGCTCGACCCGGCGTACGCGCCGGGCACCGGCACCCCCGAGACCGCCGGTCTCACGCCCTCGCAGGTGGGCCCCGGCGACAGCACGGGCACCAGGAGACGGCTGGGGGGAGGGGTGGGGGATGTTGACGGCGCACGCTCGGGCTGCGCAGCGTTGGAAACCATGTGCAACTTACCGCGACGCCCGGCACGGCCGGAGAAGCACCAGTGAGGGAGCCAGCATGTGGAGGCGTCGCTCAGGCTATCATCACCCGGCACGGAATGCCCGGCCACAAGAGCCACAGGGTTGAGAATCACCAGCAGAGACGCAGTACAGTATTGATTTACGCAGCGGCGTCTAAATGCTAGCGCATAGTACGACGCTGTCCTGAAACTGTGTGTATGTTTATTTTATAGAGAGAGCAGCAGAGGAGAAAAGGAACGTCTTATGGCTAGACTTCAACAGGGGCAGAGAGCTAACAGCATGGACGGCTGGGGGAAGGGAGATCCAGACTGATCATAGGTTGACTGCGGACTTTGACAGAAAGCCTTGGTTGCTGGAGCAGAGAGTCTGCGTGAAGGGGAGTAGAATGAGATGAGAGGGGCGACGTAAAAGAGTGTGCAGAGGGGAGTTAAATGGGATGAGCAGAAGATGTAGGATAGTGTGTGGATGGTAGTTGAGTGGCATGAGAGGGGGTGAGGTGAGTGAGATGAGAGGGAGATGCAGGAGAGTGCATGGAGGGGAGTAGAGTGAGAGGTGAGAGGTAGGCAGAGGCGAGGATCTTGAATACAGTGCGATCTCGAATTCGATCCAGGACTAGTTTGGGATTGGGTAGTGAAACCTCAGGGTAGGGAAGTGATAGTCAAGGAGCCACCAGTGGAGAGAGGGACCGGTCAAGGAGCAACTTCCACATCAAGCATCTGGCGTTGTATATAAACTGCAATGGTGTTTACACAAAACTTTTCGGGTTCCCCCCTTAGCATGCGCTACTTTGAATTACAGTCTTGAGGGAAACTGCCCTAGACGTGATTTTTGCAATCGGCCATTCGAGCGGAACCGGCAGTCGGCTTTGCACGCCCAGGGCACCCCCTTCAGAACCACCGTGAGTCATCAGAACCCCAGACGACCCCAACGAGGAGTCGAGAGGGCAGTACCAGTGCAGCGTCGCACAAACGGCGATATATCTCCGAGCGTAAGACTTGATGAGACACACGGACATTTGCAACGGGTGGCTACTATTTAACAGCTCGTGTATGTGTGTGTCTCCATGTGTGACAGTAGGCCATTGTGTGTCAGTGTCATGGTCCAAATATGCTAAATTTCAAATGAACCACAAATTACTCATTTGGAATCTACAAAGTGATCACCGCCTTCTACTGGGAAACTTTGGCAGGACCCTCCTGAAAACAGTCATTGGACTCCGTGAGGCTGTCCTCAGTAAACTAGCGCAAGAGTAACTCTCTTAACAAAATAAGCAGACAATACATTTATTTCACACATCTATTCCTTCATATAACCATGTTTATTTTTGACACAACCCATCTGCCCCGTGGCCTTCTGGTAAAGCATAATATCAGCAGCATTGATTGATTACAAGCAAACTCTGGACTGGTTTTAGATACACGGTGTGAGAGCAGAGAAAATTAACACATGATATCAACGTCACGGTGCAAAAAAGACACCAGTGAATTATTGAATCAGTTCTTTGACCCTCAATCGCGACACTCCATAGAGTCACAGTAGCAGCACGGAGGTGAAATGTGAACTGAACACTGCGCTCCAGGTGCGTCACGATGCACCGACTCGTCAGTTAAATACATTCCTGCATGCAGACGGACAAATGGCCCAGAGGTCCCACACCTCTGATTAGCACGGTTGGCTATGTACGATGCGAAAGAAGTCCAACGTACATACAGGTCAGAGCGCTCAGCTGGCACTGCTGAGATTCTGGATCCGAATCTAGGATTCAGCCGCCTGGCATCAAACGAGGTCCTCAAGTGTAGTGAGTTGATGGCCTCCGGCAGGTCACCAATGATTGTACGAACAAACAAAAAATAATGACATTTTAATTGGGTTTCCGTGTAATTTGGCCCAATTCCAGCTGTTGGAATTGAATCCTCAACTTAGTTTCATGCGTTGGACTTTACCTTTTTAGCCGGCTGGGTGGGAAAGTGCTGCCCCCTATTGTATGACTTGCAGGTAGCTCTGAAATTGACTTCTGTAGACCATTCCCTAACATGAAGGCACTGTTCTGCCAGATTTTGAAATTAATTATCTGTCTGATGATATGAAAGCGATAGCACAATAAAGATAAAATTGAGGAAAATATTTTTTTAAAGGAGAGCGGGGTGCTCAACGTGTCGCCCCAGGGTCTGGAGATCATCCGTGGCTGCAGGGGCCTCAACCTCGTGGGTTGTGACCTGGTGGAGGTGTCGCCTCCCTATGACACCACAGGTGAGTTCCCACGTCCCCCACACGCAGCGGCAGCAGCAGCACACGGGGCAGCCTCACATAGGGCAGCTCTAGCGCTACAGTCAGTGCGAGTCTGTGGGAGTGTTTGCATACGGGGAGTTAAAGGTAGCCAGGCGTGGCATTGGCCAAACACCCCAACGTGCGGCCGCGCCGACCTTCGCTAACAGCGCCTGCCCCGACTGCGTGTTAACGGCTACGCGGGGGCCCCTGCGTGCGCGCGTAGGCAACACGGCCCTGTTGGCGGCCAACCTGCTGTTCGAGATGCTGTGCGTCCTGCCGGGAGTGAAGTACCGCTGCGAGCAGAGCGGCGACGGGGGCAGCGTCAAGCACAAGTAGCAGCCTCGCCCGGCAGACGCAGGGACCAGGGTCTCTCGCGAGCGCACACGTGTGGCCTGCATCCACCAGCACCAACTCCCCTGGGATGTCCCATTCACAGAGCATCTCTGAGCTCGCTCTGCACCCTTCTAGTGAGATGGCCTAAATGTACAATTACACACAGATTAGTGTGAAGGCCGCAATGCTTTGGTTGGCTCAGGTGGTGGTCTTCATCCAGACGTTGATTGAGCATGGCTGATGATGGCATTTAATAAACTCACGGACGAAAATTGTGCCCATGACTCAGACCTCGTTAGGCGTCGTGCTTTGCTTGTAGTCGCACATTCCGGCCTCTGCTCGTGTCTGCGCGAGAGGGGACCTATAAAGGAGCCACGTGTCGTTCGCTCTTTCACCGCGTTTCCAGACCCGGGGAAATGCAGCGTACGCCATTGAATGTCACCATAATGGCGACCAATGTAACCATAATGACAACCAATATAGGGTGCAGGTCGGTCAACTCGGCAGGGGCCAGAGTTACCATCGCCGTGCGGGCCAGCGAGTGCCGCCTGCAAGTGAGCTGCTTGCCAGTAGGCGTCTCTGGCGAGCAGGCGGTCTCCGACCGCACACCAAGATCCGCTGCCATCGTGGCAGACTTGTGGTTTACTGGCCAGGTTGCTGATTCAGCTCGTTATTTGAGAGGAGACCGGCGCTGTGGGGCCAGGACGAATCCGGAAGGGGCGCCCACTGGTGGTTGTTGGACACGCGACACTTCGCTCAGGGACTGGAGCCCCAGGTCACACGGAGAAGGCTGCTCTGGAGGTCACGTTGATCCCACAGCCGGTCACGTGAGTCGTTGGCAGAGTTGTTGTTGTTAACCACATTTCAACACATTCGTCATTAACACTGCCCATAAAACTTACACACAAATATAAAAAGCAATGGCCCATTTTCATCATCTGCTATGAAGAAGTGCCTTTGCCAAGTACTGTGTGTGTAGAAACTTTTCTCTTTACGGCAGTACTATTAAGAAACATGTCGAGCCCTTGCTTTCTGTCCTTATGCCCCTCTGCCACCGCGAAATAACAAAGAATAGAAAGTTATTACTAATAAGAGATGATTACGAATCTCAACCAAGAAATGAGCTGAATGGTGTAGACACGAAGGCTTGATAGTCATGAATGTTTGAAATGACCGCGTATCAGGTTCACACGCTGTGAATGCTGGAGACGGTTGATTTTAAGTATAGATTTTTTTATTTGTCATTAAAAAAATATACACATTCTTAAATCTTTAGCATTCCAGTGCGGTGGCCGGGTGGCTAAAAGGTCAGGGCACTGAGCCGGCATTGCTGAGATCCTGGGTTTGAATACAGGTTTCAGCCGCCCGTGAATAAATCGGGTTCTCAAGCGTAGCGAGTTGATGGTCTTATCCGGTCACCAGTGACTACCAAAAAAACATACAATGTGGTAATGGTCTTAATTTGGCAAAATTCCAGCTTCGAGAATATGATCAGTTTAACCGGCACTCATAATACAGGTTAACCGGCATGCGATGAATGACTCTCGGTGGCAGAACAGGTGGGAAAGTGCCGCCACTAACTGTAGAGGGGATCTCGGAAGGGATCTCAGAGGTAGCTCCTTGATGTCTGCTTCCAGGGCCGTTTTAAAACACAAAGGGCTGCACTGCTGTGCCAGAGATCTAAATGGAATATTTGCGCCACCCATAGCACTATCAGATTGACATTGGGGGAAAAGACAAAACAATATTTTACATCTTCGTTTCATTAAATCACTCCAGAGTTACAGGGTTCAAGTCTTAACTTTCTGCGAAGCAGTGGTGAATGTATCGAGCAAGTGACCCACCTCCCCACCTCCCAGGTCTTTTGTGCCTTAAATATAAGCATTAACTGTGATCTTTATCAGAATCTTAATTTATCCTGGAGAAGTCCGATAAACAATAAAGCTGTTTTTCACAGATGTCCAGTAATGAGAGAATTAACTCATTAAATCGTGAGATTCGCGAAAATGAGCATGTGTGTCCCGTGTTTACTCCTCTCAGTTATGTGGTCGTTGTAATAGATGTAGTTTTGCAAGAAAAATCCACATTTCTTCCACCGCAATCACCACCACTGCCATCACTAGCACCATCACAATATCCAGCAACAATGCCAACAGTGCCAATAGCGCTACCACTCTGGCCAACGCCAGAGTGGTAGCGCTATTGGCACGCCAGAGTGGTAGCGCAGTGGTAACACTCGTGCCTCACAGCAACAAGTCCCGAGTTCGATTCCTGGCTTGGGTGTCTTTATATGTGGAGTTTGTATATTCGCCCCGAGTTCTGCATGGGTAGCTAAAACAAATCCCACATACAATGTAACTGATTTGGCCAAACATCCCAATACTAAAAAATGTACTGCACATTATTCAATTGGGATTACGCACAGCATCAATAGTCCTTAAACTCAGTGAAGGCTTTCCTGGGTTATCAAGTGGAGTCATACTAATGCCATGGTGGTAGCACCACCGCTATCATGACCTGTGTAGTTTGGGCCCACACAGCTACCGTGAGACCTCCATGTCAATGCACCCTGTGCTGATTTTGCCTCCTGTTGCTGGAGGGAGGCAGCTGCCAGCTCCACTCTGAATGCAGGTCGCCACTCTGCATTTCCATTGGCTACAAAGGAAATGCCCCAGTCCCCTTATCCCACTACCACAGGCCTTCCCACGTTCACTTCAATAATAATTTACTTATTTATCCAGGAAGGCACACTGAGTCAAAGGACTTTTCAGGAGGAACCTGCAGTGGGTTTTTATTTTAATGTGTTCAACCAATTAATGAGAAGTGTTTATTATACAAGTGGGAGGAAACCACAGCACCCACAGAAAAAGTCACATAGGTAAAAAACAAATTAAAATAAAGAAAACAAAACACGACGTTTCGGTCACAACACAAGTGGCCTTCTTCAGGTGAAGGAACAGAACTGTCGGGACGACAGCACTTTAATGACTGCTGCTAAGATTCGCAGCATCTTTTAAGCTCGGTGGGAGGAGCAGGGCACCTTGACAAAGGAGTTTACATATCAAAAATAGCTGTGTTAAAGTGTTGAAACAGCAGGGTGTTAAAGTCGGAAAATTAGCATGTAACTGGGGGATTAGCATGTTTTTGTTGTGTAAAGGGTGCGGAGGATGGGTTACTGTGTGTGTGCAATAGAAACGGAAATTGGAAAAATTAAAGATCTGCAAGAATGTGCTGTAAGGGGGGGGGAGCAGAAAACATGGGAAAAAGAAAAGCTTAAATGCAGGTTAAGGGGGCTGAGTTAATCCGTCTATTGTTGTGTAGAGGGTGCGGAGGATGGGTCACTGTGTGTGTGCAATAGAAACGGAAAAATTAAAGATCGGCAAGAATGTGCTGTGAGGGGAGAGTAGAAAAAAGGGTTTAATAGAAAGTTCGGAAGGAATATGCTTGGTATACCATTACTTGAAATTGCTGTTAGAAATTAGTTGACGTTTGGTATGATTGAAAACGTCTTTCCAATGGTTGCTTAATTTGAAACCATCCTCTCGGTTGAAGTTATGTCTGTGTTTGTATATCTGAATGGCTTCGTGGACAAAGCTCTGGTGATAACCTGTTGGTTAACAGAGAACCTTGGTATCAGAGAAGACAATCTCATGATCACCCATAGCGTTGTAACAATGATCAGCCACAGCAGATTAATTCGTTCTGTCCGTGTTTCAGATCTGATTTGTGCTCGCGAATTCGGTCAGAGATACGTCGTTTCGTCTCCCTGATATGGCGCCCTGCTCCTCCCACCGAGCTTAAAAGACGCTGCGAATCTTAGCAGCGGTCATTGAAGTGCTGTCGTCCCCACAGTTCTGTTCCTTCACCTGAAGGCCACTTGTGTTGTGGTCGAAACGTCGTGTTTTAATTGTTTTATTTTAATTTGTTTTTTACCTACGTGACTTTACCGAATAAAACCAAAGAGTATGAATTCTTGCAGTCACGAAAGCTTCAAATCTAGAACCCACAGAAAACCTACACGCACGACAGGATAACACTCTTTACCTGTACGGATGGAAACAAATGGTGATTAGTTCACTTGCTACTGCCGTCTCCTGGCGAGCCAGGTAATGGCACCTTGACCCCCACAGGAGTTTCACGACATGTGTGGTGATCCACCAACCTCGCCTCCAGTGCTGGATTACAGGCCACGTGCGCAGCCATCATCTTGCAGCGTTGCACTTTGCAGTTCACCTTCGACCTGGCCGTCTATACGCTTCGGTTATATTTTACGTTGCCATATAACCAAGGGAGAAAGCGAACTGCAGAGTTCAGTTGCTGCAGAAGCCTGCCAGCACACGGAGTGAAACATCAGATTCCACGCCGAAGAGCGTGCGGTATGACCCGAGTGCAATTGGCAGAACTGAGAGAGACTGCGGCTATTGCACAGCCAGGAGGGGCACGGAGACTTGCGCTGCCGCCCCGAGTGGGTATCAGCATGAACGCGTGGTGGGGGGGGGGCTTCCACGGCCCCGGTTCGATGCGAAAGCCAACGTGGAGCTGGCTGCGGGGACCCACGGCTCAAATAACGCCGACAGCCCGGTTCACACGTCTGCTCAGCCGAAGCGGGCGAGTCTTTATAGCACCGTCCGAGCGTCAGCTGCGGCCGCACCTGGAAGGGTTCCACGGGTGCGTGCCTGGGATCTCGCACTCTGGACGGAAGCAAGAGTTGGCGGATCGCGCAACATGTGAAACTCACAAGTCCACTAGGCTGCGAAGTTGCTTAGAGATTGCAGTGCAGCAAGTGGGTTCATGAGCCCATCTGCATGGATCTTTGAGTAGTATCCCTTGGTTGCACATGGTGGCTTTTCATTGGGTACTCCAGCCTCTTTGTACATGCGAAACGTTCCTCAAAAAGTCAGTCAGTGGCTTTCTGTTCACCTGAGCATTGAGGTGGTGCTCATCTCTTGTTTATAGCTCTGATCCAGTTGTGGGAATTCCATATTCCTATGACGGGGGCAAATTTATCCAGAGAACAACCACCGTTGACTTCCCCATAAAGTGGAACTCGTGTTATTGAATCTAGAGTGATGATGGGCTGAATTAACCCCATACAGGATTTTCACTCTCTTCCTATTGCGAGCCACCTGCTCTTCCAATGAGACACCTGGCTGGGTATCTGAAGGGAACTGGCCAAACCAAAGAGGTGAGGTTTGGGCTCTCCTGGATATAAAGGAGTGACATTACTTATGATAGTGTGCAAGGTTGCTTGTTGCAGCGAGATCTCTGTGTAGGAGCCACGCGTGGGTTTGCGAGCCTGGGGCAGGCATTGCCCAGATGAGAGATCGTGTTCGATGGGACACCGTGAACTCAGTGCAGCTAATTATACGCAGTGTTTAGTCAAGGCTTTTCCAGGAACTCTCCCCCACGCGCTCAGCAATATAACATGCAGGATTAATTCCACGCTCAACATATATATTGTAGCTCTCTACGAAATCAATTAGTCGCTCGCTCAGTATCATTTTTAGATGCTTCCAATCGGCTGCTCATTTACCCACCCAGTCCCTCACTCACCAATATCCTTACCCATCCACTCACCCAGTCACTACATTACCCACTCACCAAGCCACTTGCCTATTTACTCGCAACAACTCACTTTCTCACCACTCTAACGGTTACTCACCCACTCACCAATTCAGTACCACTCCATTCACACACCCAGTTACTCACCCATTCCCTATACCATCCACTCACACTCGCTCAACTACTTAGTTACTCATCCATCCACCGATCCACACTGTGTTAGGTTATAACGGGGGTCCACGTTGGGGCAAGCGTTGAAACTTGTATTAGCATTGTGGCTCGTGCACGAAGTTAGGATCTATTCTTCACCACAGGCATCGTGCCAAATGTATTTGCTGCTGCTGAGGCACGCAATACGGTTGTGTTCATAGAGCGGTGCCACTATTATGCACAGGCACACGCATACACTGGAGCCAGCTCAACCAGTTTCCATGGCACTTTGTGTACACGATCAAACGGGCGTGTCGGTGATACTGCGTTAGCAGTGGTGCACGCGGGCACAATCAACAAAAAACTCAACACATTCGTCAAATAATATCGTGGCCTTGAAAGCAAACATAAAATAGGCGACATTTCAAGAAATGGCCCTTCATCGCAGGTAAGAGGTTATCTTGACCCCCAAGGTCGGGGTCAAAGGTTATTGTTTCCCCGAGAGAGCGTTTGCTGTTGACAAGCGGCACCGGTGCCGTCTCGTCGAGCTCGGTGGACTCGCCACGCCGGCCGCGCTGACACACGCCTGTGGTCCAGCGCTGCGGGAAAACGGGTTGGTGGATTTCGCAGATTCAATATCGATTGTAAATCTAACAAAGCCATTGGAATGCAAGGTTCCCAGATGGCAGTACAGCATGTTGGGGTGAACCCATCTTTATGGACCTTGGGAGATGTATCTCTGTAACGTGCGTGTTGGGTTTCCTACCAACAACATGCATGAATGGAATGTCACCAATTGAGCCAATTCAGCATTCTACTGTACCGAGACTTGGCGAGGCTTCGCTGCGTGGACGGCACTATTGGTAGTATTACTACAATTTGTGCTGTCCTGTGTTGATGTGTAAAGTCCTGGCCGTCCGCGCTGTCGACTGCACACAAGATGTATGCGTCACCACAGCACGCTGGCTTGTCGCTCTCCATCTTACCTCAACGTTGCCCAACGGCAGATTGCGAGGCTTCGACCTCCCTCGAAGACCGCGTACGTCAACTCAACCGAATCCGCACAACAGGACACGGGCGCTGACGCCAGCTTCACGAGTGGAAGATGAGGGATGTTACCCCAAGTGCGACCACGGAACATATCGCATCGACCTGCCCTGCACTTAGATCTGCTGCGGAAACGCCGCTTCATTCCTCCACCCGGCATCTCAAGAAGCCACCGTGTGGATCGCCTAACAAGATATCCCATTTTTATTTAAAGCTTTCGTGACTGCAGGGATTCATATTCTTGGTTCTTACGTGACTTTACCGAAAGAACCAAGAATAAGATATCCCATTGTGAGCTGTTCCCGTCGTACAAAACAAGACTCACTTGCAACGCTCCGGTTAAAACGACAATCGCACAATCTCGAGACAACTCATTACTTGCGTAAGAAATATTTTTTGTTTATTTCTTTTTTTGTAAGTTTAGTGTCAGCGTAAAAATCACTCGTGCAGACGAGATTAGGCAGCTCGGGTAAGCCGGGACGGCGCCGTGGTTACTCATTGACGCGTCTCTCCGTGCGGTGGGAACAGGGGTCGGTGGTGGCACCTTACGGTCACCCCGGTTACACAACCGCAATTCCACCCACCTCACCACGCCGTGGCCACCAAGCCCCGGTTCAACTCCTGCCTGCTACAGCTGCCCGGGAATTTTTGTGGGAAATCGACAAAGTGTGACAACGTCCGTTGCGAGGTTGGCATTAAAGCCCTGCCTTCGCCGTGACGTTATAAAGTTAATAAGCCCGTGAGCGCCGGCGTCGCGCGGCCAAAAGAAAAGAATGAAAAATAATCTGCAACTTAAACAACCTTAGTAGCTATCCCTATGTAAAACATGGGGTCATCCAGGTGTCCCTTCAAAAGTCACGAATCTCAAAAGTGCTCTCGCCGGGCTCATAAGGTTAAGTGAAATGTTAATAACCACATAAGGCAACAGGAAAGTGCTTGGTTACAATTCTAGATTTAAAGCTTTCGTGACTGCTAGGATCCATACTCTTTGGTTCTATTGGGTAAAGTCACGTAGGTGACGCTGACCTTCCTCAAAAGATGCCGCGATCACAAGCTTAAAGGTCGTGATCTAAGCGTGGCTTCTTCCACTCCAGCGCTGTCCTCCAGACAGTCTCGTCCCTTCACCTGATGAAGGCCGCTTGTGTTGTGGCCGAGACGTCGTGATTTTTTGTTATTTTTTTGTTATTTTTTTGTTATTTTATTTTCACCTACGTGACTTTACCCAATAGAACCAAAGAGTATGCTTGGTTACAGTCCAGAACGTACGCGGGGTCACAGCCCCCGGTAGGGGGCTACTTCGTGGGTGTCCCTGGTCCTGCTGGGAGGACCTGGAGGTCCCAACTCAACCCAGGACCCAGAGTGGGAGACCCTGCCTGGATAGAAAGAGGCAGCCCAGCCAAGCCGCTCGAGCACCTCCTTTTTGGCACGTGGAGTCCTGTGCGAGTGTTGTCGGTCCTGTGTCCGTGTTCCGTGTGTAATGCCCTGTGTAACTTGTGTGTTTAGTGAGAAGTGTCCAGCTGCATATCCCACATCCATCCATCCCAGCAGTGCGAGTGTTCCCCGTGTACTCGGACGCACGCAGTGTAGCAGTGCGCCGAATGTTCGGTGCATATCCCGTATGCAGTGTTCCTCTATGCACCGCGGTCCACAGTCCGCGTCTGTCCCTGTCTACGAGAGCCCGCAGCGTGGTGCCGCCGCCGCCGTTCCGCTATCCCAGCAGCACCTTCTGCACGTGCCTGGGTTCCACGCGGCCCGCGGAGTCGTCCTCGGACTCGGCGTCGCTGGGCGAGGTGGAGCCGCCGGGCGGCGAGGAGCACTGCGGCGAGCACAGGTAATGCATGAGCGGCAGGCGGTACTTGCCGCAGAAGTCCACGAACTTGATGTGCCGGACGCGCGCGTCGAAGTAGACACCGGCGCAGCGCGGGTTGGGGCACTTGCTGGCCGAGTCCAGGTAGCGCGCCACGTGCGCCGGCAGCTCGGCGCTCGTGTAGGGCACGGAGTGCGCGCGGACGGCGCGGGCCGCCAACTCGAGCAGGGCGGGCGGGCGGAACGCCTGGTCGCGCACGAAGCGCACGACCAGCGGGTTCCCGCGCAGGCTGAGCTCGGCCAGCCCCACCAGGTGGAGGATCTCCCGCGGTAGGTACATGAGCAGGTTGTTGTGCAGGCTGAGCGAGCGCAGGGCGTGCATCTGCGCGAACTCGGGCGGGATGCTCTGCACGCGGTTGTCGCAGAGGCCCAGGCAGGCGAGTCGGGGCAGCAGCGACAGCTCGGGAGGCACCGACGAGATGGCGTTGCCCCCCAAGTAGAGGACCTCGAGGGCCGAGAGGCGGGAGATCTCGGACGGGATGGAGCGAAGGCGGTTGCCGCCCAGCGAGAGCGAGCGCAAGCGGCCGAGCGACAGCAGCTGCGGCGGCAGCTCGCAGAAGCGATTGCCCGACAGGTTCAGCGACTCGAGGCTGGAGAGGCGGCCGAAGTCCTTGGGCAGGGACGAGGCGTCCAGGCGGTTGTTCTTGGCGAGCAGCGTGCGCAGGGAGGCGAGCGCCAGCAGCTCCTCGGGCAGCGCCACCAGCGCGTTGGAGCTCACGTCGAGGAAGGTGAGCGCCGTGAAGGAGGACAGCGCCGGGGGCAGCCGAGCCAGCGCGTTGTGCGTGAGCACCAGCTGCTGCGTGGAGCGGCGCGCCTCGGCGTCCACCGCTTCCAGGGAGAGCTCCGCGGCGCCCACCCGCGACAGGATCAGCACCCGCTCGCCCTGCAGCTCCTCCAGCACGTCCATGCTGAGGGCGCCGGGGCACGGAGAGCGAGCGAGCGAGAAAGGGGAGGACGAGGGGGGTGAACTGAGCGGACACGGCGGGCGACCGCTTTCGGACCCCCCACCCCCCCAGGTGTGCGTGCCGAGGGTTGTGGGGTGGAGCGGATGGGCGGTGTGCGGGTGGACAGGCGGCGCACTCCGTTGTCACGCGGGAGGTGGAGCTGGATGACGATGAAGAGTGCTAGCGATGAGGGTCAGGTGAAACTGCTGGTAAGAGTCGAAAGTGACGAGGGGCAAGGGTTGAACGCGACTATGTCGAGCTGCTGCTGATGATGATGGTGCTGTTCCCGTCACGCGGATTCCCGGGCCGCGCTCACTCCGAGCCCGCGGTCTCCTCGCTCGCCACCGCCGCGGACCTCACCGCGCACAGCTCCCAAGGCAAAGAGGCCCGCGGGCTGTGACCGCGTCCCGGGGTGAGAGCGGCGGCGGCGACGGCGGCGGCAGCAGCGGGAATAGTGGGAGCAGGGGGAGGACCCCCTTCCTCCCTCAGCACCTCCCTCTGCGTCTACAACGTGAGGCCGCTCGCGGCCATCTTACGTGGGGAGATCGCGTGGTACTGTACGGGAGGGGGGCGACGGAACCCGCGACGTCTTCGCGCGCCGACGCTGTCGCAGGCGGCCTCGTGCAGTGCGATTGGGCGGCATCTCCCCCCACCCCCACGCAAGATGGCTGCTGTTAGCTGTGGCGCGGACACGTGGGGAGGCGTGCACCACCCCGCCTCCCCAACCCCCCTCCTCAACCCAGCCCCCTCCGCTGGGCACGAGCCCCCCCCTCCCTCCCCGCCGGTGACGTGGGCACGAGGCCGGGCGGACACCGTGGCCGGGCTGCGTCATAAAAGCGTTGCACAAGAAGAGGCACGCTTCACGTTGTTCTGTTCCACTGTAGTGTCGTCACTGGCGTGCTCACGTATGCACGTTTGATATCTGCTGGTGAGTCAGATGCCTTCTGTGACCCACAGTGGGGCATAACGCACGTACCTGGGCTGGAGTGATTCGAAGGCATGGGCCAGATCAACTCAATAACGGTAGGAGCCTGCTAGACTTCTGTGCAGCCCATTGGCTTGTAATCACCAAAATTGTGTTCCTGCATCGGCGCATCCACACACCATCATGGATACACACCATGTCCAAGCAAGAACATCTGCTGGACTACACCTGGACGGAACAACGGATGCGAACCCTATGTCATTGACACCAGCACCGACTTTGGAGCTGATCTCTCCACTGTCAATTGTAAGATGGGCCTGCCATTCTTCCACTGCCTGTGTTAGCCATACACCTAGGATCCCATTGCATACTCAAAATAGCCTGGGATCGACTAGTTGATGAAAGTTGCAAGTGAAAATGTCATCATTGCTTGCAGTGATGTTGGCATCATGCCCCTTCCTGATGCGGAGGGGAAATTAGAGGTTTAGGACCGTGTCTCATGCAAATGAAATGGTTGTTTTGAGTATGCAGTCCAGAACACCCCAGAGATCCTGGCTGACGGTGGAAGTATTCTGGCTCGTTTAGAGAAAGCTCCGGTCCAACTCCCACCGTCTAGAACATTCCACGGAGAATGAGGAGGCTTACCACAGCCTTCACTAGGAGGTTCTGAGAGCCTTGCGGCGCTGCAAGGGTGAGTAGTGGTCAGGGGTTGTGGAAAATGCTTCGGTGGCAGCAGCAGCAGGAGTGGCTGGGCGAGCTCCCACCCTCAAGGCGCAACACGAGTGAGGACCAGGGGATCGTCGCTGTAAGTAGGAGCTGAGTGCTGTCTGCAACTCTAGAATGGATATCGGACAGGGAAACATCAGGTGACGGTATGATTATTGTTGTGTTTCCAGCGGCTGACCTGGGGAGTGAACCAGGGCCGGTGGGACGTCTGGGACCCCCAAGAGCCCTGCCAGGAGCGTCAGGCGCAGGGAAGCAAGCGAGCTGCAGCCTGGCACTGACCGAGAGTGAAGTCGGGTGCTGTCGGGTTACCACGGTGGCTGCTTGGGTGGCCCACAAACATCTCCCACTCTCAGAGGACGGGTACTCTGCGAAGCAGAGGGAACTCTGAAGCAGAGTTGCGTAGGGGAGGTGGACCCCCCCCCCCCAATAAAGCTTCTGTGTGTGTCTAGGGAAAGCAGTAGGTACCGTAGGTGTGAGTGGATGTGTGTGGGTGATCTGGTGTTGAATGTTATTTGGTTGTTGTTCTTTGTGGTAGTCTGCTCCACGGTGTCACTCCTCTGCCTGGGGTGTTCGGTGTCAGCTCGGAGAGCAATAAAAAGCTGACATCTCTAACAGCCAGGACTCTGAGTGGTCCAACACCAGCACACCGCGATACACCCCAACCATCAGCCCTCCTGATTAGGCAACGTGACAATACATATAGCTCTGTATTTCCATAACAAATTAACTTGCAGTGCCTCATATACTTCTGTCTGAAAGGGAAAGATCGGTGATCTAATCTGCAACCCCCAGAAACAGGTCTGCAGGTTTGCAGAGCATTTCTTTGAGGTATTGGAGAAGGGGAAATCCCTCGACTCATGTAGCCCACATGCCCAGCCACCATATGCCAAAGCAGATTCTGTTTGGTCACATAGAGGCTGAATGGGCATGGCACAGGTTAGATACGATATTTGGTTGATGTGGTACAGGAGGATGTGAAGCAGATTGGGCAAGCCAAAGATTGGTATTAGCGGTGTCAAGATTCACCTCTGTAGACGAGGCTTGTGAAGGACGCGACTCGGCAGTTGGAGGTAGTCTCCCAACAACAGTGGAGGGCGAAAGAGCGACGCTCAGAATGAGTGGAGTGCCAAGTGGCTAAAACGCAGCAAGTTGGCACAGGGAACACAAGTGGTGCATCTGTCAGTCATCTCGGGTAGCCCGTAACACCAGGGTCTGTCCCGTGACCTGTCAGTGAACCTCTCACACTTCACGTTGTGTCTGCATCTAGCCTGGCACAAGCATTGGAGACGTCACAATGACTTAGTAACAAATGGCGGCTGTTGTGTTTAGTGTAGACACCATTATTACATTGGTGGTTATATGGATATACTGGCCCTTGTCATGGGAATGTGGATTTTCAACTGGCGCAGTGCCTGCATGGAGACACTAATGTTATATGACCTCAGCAAATCACCACAATCCCTACAACTGATACAGCGTGAGGAGGCCTCCATCCAGCAGTGAATTGCCAAAGGGCAGTAAATGATAGTTTATAAATTAGGCGAGATGCAGTGGCACAGGGAGGATTGTTGAATGAAAGAGCATAGAGTTTGTATGGCAACAGTCCCAATGCTAAATAAACCCCCCCTGTGCCCTTGTCTCCCAAGCTCCTGACAGGGACTTGAGAACACAAAGTTACGTTTCATTCCCTTAGCCGACATTCATGTGCTAATGTGGATGCTTGCTTGTGTGCATGTTAATCGCCGTCGAGGTTCTGGAATCACGGGTGCCATGGACAAACGCACGTACTTTGCACCTACAACCCCGGTTTAGCCAGTGTCTCGTGCTAGGTTGCCACCTCTGAGGTACAAAAAAATAACCAGGATACCATCCCATTCTCATCATCAGTCGGTCGCCCCTGGCTGGGGTGCAGCAGTCACCACAAGACACAACCAGGCAATGGCCAAGCCAGAATTTTCAGGTAGGGGGTGGCAACCACTCCAGCAATGAAAAATGATAGAGGAGTTGTTAGTAAGTAAGGACTTGTCCCTTGCTTTTTATTCGATGCATGTGCGGCAATGGTGCAGCCATCGATCGAGGGTCGTATTCGAACCGCGTTGTGATCGGCATCATGCTCGCTGAAGGTGAATGCCTTCGGGGAAGTCGTGTTCTGTATACGCAACTGCGCACAATTCCAAGTCACTTATAACTGCTTTGCCGTTACTTATTGCCAATTATGGACTCAAACTATTGTCCTATCATCTCATAGAGTCCCTGGCACGTAATAATATGCTCCACAGTGGCAGTGGGGGTCGCAAAATGCCGATTTATTACTAATAAACCCCAATGATCCGATCGAAATTAGAGATTTCGATCGGATCATTGGGGGGGGGGGGTGGGGGGCACGTGCCACCCCCCACTGGCTCCGCCAGTGCAACCAGGTGACCCTATCCTGAGCACGTCACAATGCTGAGCAGAGTTGAAGACCTGCGGTGTACGACGTCAGCCTCAACAGTTCTGCACGTCCACATTAACCGTGGGGTCTGCCCCGAGGTCGGCTCTGCTCCCGCGGCGGTGCCGCTGCCGCCGTTGATGGCACGCAGGGCTCTGGTGCCAGTGGCCGAGGCGTCCGCTCGGGCACCGTGTCCGAAGCGGCGAAGTCTCTTGACCATGATCATTGCAGTCATCGCTGGAGGAGATGCCGTTCAATGACGGACCTTGGCGTTGGCGACGTTGCTTGCTGGAGTGGATGCGGAGTGACCGTCGCACGCACAGCCGCTCGGACGCGTCCAGTTTCCTATGCAGAAGCAGAGACGCTGCTGTCACTGGCCGCGTCTCTGAGCCGCACAGCAGCAGCATGGGAAGGATGGACACGTTGTAGACGAGGATCTTTCTATCATGCGGGAATACCCGATGCATCTCTTAAGTTCTGCCTGACTACGTTTGGATCAGACGGGAAGAAGAATATCTCAATACCAGAAGACGGGAGAACTACACGTGACTGCACTGTCTTAAGCGTGTATTATTACACGAAGGATAATAACCAGTACTTTTCATTGTCCTGGAAAGACTTATCCTAGGAAAGCTACCTAACATCCTGAAATTCACCAACATTAATTTAAGTAAGCCTGACTGCTGATAAGTCACTCTGTGTCGAAACCAGTCCAGAATATGCTGTATTTCAATCAATGCTGTAGAGGTTATGCACTCCCAGAAAGTTGTAGGGCCGGTGAATTGTGTAAATAGTGTTTTTTATGTGAAGTGACAGATATTGTCCTCAAAAAGAGGACGATCCTGGGGAAACTAGTACAGGTGAAAACTCTGTCTCATGCAGGGCTTAGATTCTCATTTAATATTCTCCGGGTAGCTGGTAGACTGTAGTAGGTGGCACGTAACTTGTATCCACAGCTGTCGCAAGAGGTGTATTGGATGTAGTGTGCCGGGTAAGAACATATGTTCCAGATCACTGACCCAGACAGACCCGGCTAGTATTAAGCCCTGATTTCATGTATCGAAACAGTTTGATCGTTTCAGCTCCATCATTAATGACTGCACTAAAATCTCATCCTGTGGATTTGGTTTAGAGATTTCTCTTTGGTAATTCCCCACTGAAATAACTGGGCAATAATATGAAGGATGCCCCTAAGGTACCGCAACCCTTTTCGTTTATTGTTAACTTTTTTGAATAAATCAAACATTTTAGAAAATAATTTCATGGAACCTCACTAACATGTGTATGTTTTCAACACAATCTTTTATACACACTTGAACCAGGACCAACGTTCCATCACGGTTTACAGCAGTGACATTTTATAAACCCTGCCCACGTAGGCGTTTTCTTTTAAAAAATCAACATGTGAACAATCTGACGATGCCAGGTCTGGCC